CTCAGGTCAGACTCTGCAGGTCTCCAGGTCTCAGGTCAGACTCTACAGGTCTCAGGTCAGACTACAGGTCAGACTACAGGTTTCAGGTCAGACTCTACAGGTCTCAGGTCAGACTCTGCAGGTCTCAGGTCAGACTCTGCAGGTCTCCAGGTCTCAGGTCAGACTCTACAGGTCTCAGGTCAGACTACAGGTCAGACTACAGGTTTCAGGTCAGACTCTACAGGTCTCAGGTTTAAAGATGTTTCTTGTGGTTCTGCAGCAGCTGGAGATCATCACACCGTTCCAACTCTACTTTAATCCAGACCTGATCCTGAAGAACTACCAGGTGAGTTCTCTCAGACACTACTCTGAGCTGTGTTAGTAAAATATTACATTTGTTCTGACTGACTCTGCTTTCTGTCAGGTATGGAGGTTAATCACCAACTTCCTGTTCTTCGGTCCAGTGGGCTTCAACTTCCTGTTCAACATGATTTTTCTGTATCCTTCTGGGTTCTGACTCTGGTTCTGATTCTCTGGTTCTTTACATAAAACCGGATTCAAAAGTTTCAGTTTCAGCTGAGTGAAGCTGCAGAGACAGAAGTCTGTGCAGCTGTTTGTTAAATCAGGTTAAAGTCAGGGTTAAAGTCAGGGTTAAATCAGGTTAAAGTCAGGGTTAAAGTCAGGGTTAAATCAGGTTAAAGTCAGGGTTAAATCAGGTTAAAGTCAGGGTTAAAGTCAGGGTTAAATCATGTTAAAATCAGGGTTAAATCAGGTTAAAGCAGGCAGAAGTCTGTGCAGCTGTTCGTTAAATCAGGTTAAAATCAGGGTTAAATCAGGTTAAAGTCAGGGTTAAATCAGGTTAAAATCAGGGTTAAATCAGGTTAAAATCAGGGTTAAATCATGTTAAAATCAGGGTTAAATCAGGTTAAAATCAGGGTTAAATCAGGTTAAAATCAGGGTTGAATCAGGTTAAATCATGTTAAAATCAGTGTTGAATCAGGTTAAAGGCAGGATTAAGTCAGGACTGAAGCATGATTAAAGTCAGGATTAAGTCATTAGTCTTGGGTCCAGCATGTCTTCTTTAACACCTGGCTCAGGTACAGGTACTGTCGGATGCTGGAGGAGGGATCCTTCAGGGGGAGGACCGCTGACTTCGTCTTCATGTTCCTGTTTGGAGGACTCCTCATGACCGTATCCTCCAGAAAACTGCTTCCTGTTCTTAGTCAGGAAACAAGAGACCAGGTCTCAGAGACCAGGTCTCAGAGAACCAGGACTCTGAGTATCTGGGTCTTGGTCTGACAGGAAGTTGAAAGGTTTCAGTGAGCTGAAATGAAAGTTCAGTTTCAGGAGGTTTTCTGAGGATCTGGGACTTTCTTTAACCAGGCCTCAGATCTTCGGCATGTTTGTGAGCCTGGTCTTCCTGGGCCAGGCCTTCACCATCATGCTGGTCTACATTTGGAGCCGGAGGAACCCCAACGTGCGCATGAACTTCTTCGGCCTCCTGAACTTCCAGGCCCCGTTCCTGCCTTGGGTTCTGATGGGGTTCTCCCTCCTGCTGGGGAACTCCATCATCGTGGACCTGCTGGGTCAGTTTCAGCTGCGTGGTCCTGAAGGGTCTGTTGGACCGGACCAAGACCTGAGACAGAGTTTACTGAAGCAGCTAAAAACTGATGTGTTTCAGATACTTCAGGCTTTTAGCTGATGTTCTGCTCCTTCAGGCTTTTAGCTGATGTTCTGCTCCTTCAGACTTTTAGCTGATGTTCTGCTCCTTCAGACTTTTAGCTGATGTTCTGCTCCTTCAGACTTTTAGCTGATGTTCTGCTCCTTCAGACTTTTAGCT